CAAATTATTCAGTGCTGCTATCTATCGATGCAGTTCATTCTTCATGGAAAACTCGTCCAGCACGACACGGAGAGGGCGATAAAAAAAGGAAAATTTCGCAATTATAAACGTCGATAACTCTGTGTGCGTGTCGACGATGATGATGTGGATGGCGCTCGTTCGATGGCTGCCGATTGTCTCTGATGTTGAATATCAGCTAGCACATCCGATGTTCAATTACACAGTTCTTATTGACACTGGCGGCTCGTTCAGAGAGCCCTAGAAAACTCTGCGCAAGTTCTTTTCATGATTATCCGCGTCTGCATTTGCGTCCAAAGTGTGTGTTTGCGCTAGATTTTTTGCCTAGATGTTGCCAGTGACTATGTAACTATGCGCGCCGCCGCTTCTGAAGCCGCCACCGCCGCGGCAGAACCACCCAGCGACGATCACAAGAGTGCAGCACATCGATTCACTTTCTCACCCCCGTACCCCCTCCTTACTTGCTCCACCTCTCAGTGTGTCTTGTATTTCTCGAAGCCAGTCGTCTTAAGTCACGAGAATATGTCCTCGGAAAATTCTATTCTTCGCGATACTGTAGAGCCGAACGAGGCTGCTGCCTTTGCCGACGTCTTCACAATTCAACAAAGCACGACATCTAGTGCTGGTGATATGGTCGCGATGAAATTGCACGATGTACCGAATCGTCTTGTCATCGCACCCGACGAGCCATCGGGTAACTGCTGTGAATTCTAAAATTTTTAACAATATTCTATAAAAAAAAAGCAGAAACAAATCTCCTTGCAGAAAGGGGTTAAAAATTTCCTAGAAGAATTTTGGGGTATAGATGGACTGTAGATAATTATAAGAACCAGGGGCTTATTTTTATTGACGAGCTGCTCCATACTCCATTTATTATTCTCTATGTGTTCAGGCATGGATTGCTTTGCTGACGATCGAGATGCGTTGAATGATTTTGCTAAATACTACAACAATGCTCATCTTAGCGATGTCAATATCATTGTAGGAGATGA